CGATACACGCGTTAATCCTGTGGAGAGGGTATCATCCGTTTTCTATCCATAATCTTAATTAAAAGATACGATAGCGCGAGTAAGTCGCTGCAGCTTGCACGGGCGACATTGTTCGGCAGAGTGTGCTGTCGTTAATAATTGCGATGCAACGTCGTCACGGCACTTCTCATTGTCGACATCACGAAGCGCTAAAAATACAAAAGGCCGGGGTCTGTTTTTTTATGATCCTTTTACGACCAACCTGCTGTAATAATTAACCCTGCGAGTGTAACCTCGACGATAACTGGTGTGACGGATTTGTCGATTTCCTCGCGACATAACAACACACGCGATACTGATACGAAGAGAGGGACTCGTTAATTGCGCCAAAACTTTGGCCGGTACATATTTCAGCCTCGGTATCAAAGACCCCGGCCGAGACTGAAATATGGCGATGCGAAAGTGCATTGACACGCCTGGAGCGCGGCAGGATAATGAAGAGGCCGAAGGAGAGATCGGTTGGTATCTTTTATGAAATAAAACCCAAGTCTTTTAATTAAGACTCCTGAGACGACAAGTATCGGGCGAGCCACCGGACTTAACAAGTCCATTGTCAAGTTACTTTTTGATGAATCGAGAAAAGTCGACCTTACGAAATTCCGTTCCTAAATCTACGATACTCTGCGCTCCTCGCGGATAGTCCTGTAAAAACGGTCTTGGCTCGAAAAGAGTTCTAGAGGTCTTCCTCGCCACGAAAGCCCGGATAACATTACTAAGAAGGAAGAAAATGACCGGAATGGCCGTACTTGAGAACGTATCGGTGTACTTCCTTCCAAAAGATGAAAGGAAAATTCGATTTATAAATTGATTTAATAGATTGATAAATTTAATAGATTGATAAAAAGCTTAAAAAGTCGCAGTTTGCTTCGCGGTAAAGACTCGCTCAAACGACAACAACAAATGGCGCGATGCTGCATTGATTATCAGCGGCAACGTTCTCTCTCTCTCTCTCTCTCTCTCTATCTCTCTCTCTAATTACGTTTCTCGTACAATTAATAATTTGACAGCCGGATAAACATTTCGACGGTGTAGCCGCGGCTGATGAGAGAGCATTCGAGGTGTTTTCCGCGCCGGTTTTCTCGCGGCTCCCGCTGCACTTGTGGTACTCGCGCGAGAGAAGAATAATGAAATAACGAGACAACGATTCGCCGAGCGATTCGGTGGGCGATTTCGATTTCGAAAAGACGCCGGACGCGGGCCGTAGCAACGCGATCGAGAAAGACGTAGATGAGAAGATTCGGCGAGTTGAAAATCAGGTTTCTGCATAGTCAGAGCTACCCAACCACGTACGCGCGCGTACATCGCTTCTCACGCGGCCGTCAGGCCGCTTCCAGACCACCAGATAGTAAAGTCGATGGCAGGAGCCCAAAGAGAATTTTCTAGTAGCGCACACACCTTGGTTACTTGGCAAGCGGAAGCCACTTCGATTCACCTTTAAAAGTCATCCGACGTACACACGCGTAATCGTCGGGGACCGCGCGCGAGCGCGTACTGTTGAGTTTATCTCAACTCATTATCAATGGGACAGGACTTGAAGCGACTCGTTAAAGCAGCGTGCATGAAGCCAGAAAAAGCGAGTTTAATTTCACACGGTAATCAGTGGTGTGATATACATTTGTATTAAAACCGAGACGAGCGGTAAATAGCATCGTCCGACTGATGAAAATTAATTGGTAATTAATTGTCAGAGAATCGCAGCTGAATCCGTCTTGCTTGGAAGGCTCGTTTATAAAACAACTTCTCTTCCCTAAATTATTTAGCGAAATAATGTAATGCTTGAAAAAATCTCTCGAAATAGTGGGAACAAGCTACTGATGTTTGCCTGATATAACGTTAACATCTTTCGTTTTGGCACTGTTTGACTTAAGGGGTCTGCACTGCAAAGCCGAGTGTGTTATTTTGACACGTATAAGCTGAAGCTTTCTTCACGCGTTTTTTGTCGTCTGAAATCACGTCATTTGATGCATTTCGATATCACTTAACGCGTTTAAACGCGTCAAACAATGTGATTTAAGACGACAAGATACGCGTAAAGGAAGCTCCAGTTTATCAGCGTCAAAATAACACACTCGGGTTTGTAGTATGGAGGGTCAGATTACTGAAAAATCGTGCTTGTTTTTGATAATGATTTTGTGACGAATAAATGTGCAAGAATGAAAATTTTACATATATTTATATAACATACGAAGAGTAGAAAAATTTTGTTTTTAAACAAATACTCATATAAATATACGCCCACTTAAATTTTAAATGCGTCTTTCTCGAAAATTTATTGTTCAACTTTTGGCAGTGATTTCTCCGAAACTGAGCTTCGTATCGATTTGAAATTTTAAAGCAATAATATTTGTTCGTGTGGTTCTCACGTGCACCATGGACAACTCCGTCAAAATATTTCATTTTCAGATATTAATATTTTTATTGTAAAAGAATTGAAAAATTTGAATTTTTTCCTAATAATAGCTGCCATTTTGTTAATTTTGTTTTGTTTTTTTGTAGTGGTTCACCGAATAATGATAAGCCTCCTCAAGATTTCTAGCTAAAATTCGCTCTAATTGGACCACCGAGAGCCGAGATATTACTGCAAAAACGATAACTTGAAAAAAAAAGGAGAATATATTTCAGCTATATATATCGTATATTTATACGAGTATTTGTTAATAAACAAAATTTTTCCACTCTTCATATGTTGTATAAATATACTTAAAATTTTCATTCTTGCACATTTATTCACTTCGTCACAAAATATTACCAAAAACAAGCACGATTTTTCATCAGCAATCTGACCCTCCAGTCCCCTTAACGAAACTCTGAAGAAATCTCCAAGATACAGGTCTGTCTCCCTCCAACTTGATGCATTCGAGATGGGCGTGTTTCAACTTAGGGAGAGACGTTTCAACGCAACACACTTTGTGAAACTTTACAAAGCTGCATAACGCCATGCAGCGCTCGTGACAAAAGAATGAAAAGCGAGCAGGCTCTGCGACGTTCTCACTCCCGAAGAAGTAATCAAACTGTGTGACAATCGAATCAGCCTTACGCCGAGAGAATCATCGGAATCGTACATGCAGATGAACATCGCAGTCGTTGCATACGCAGTGTGACACACTATTTGTGCGCGAGGTAACCCATTATTGCCACGTCAGATTTTAATCAAATCTCGGCCCAAAGTTGGAAGCGCGACAGCCGCGCATAATGTCGCTGCCGTTGTGTGACGAAATCTTGGACCAAAGTCGTTTGACGAGCGCAAAATAGTTCCGGGATCTGTTAGACATTGTCGGGACGTCGGAAGACGGCCGGCGAACTCAATCGGCGAAGTCCGATACAAAAGTTGGACGACGGGATTTTTCGAAATCGTACGATGAGTTTCGACGAGTGCGCCGCTTCGCGCCGCGCCGCGCCGCGCCGCGCCGCGCTTCCCTACTTCGATGGAGGGGAGCGGGGAACGGATCGATGTAAGGGCGGTGCACGCGTGGCTGCGTGGATGCGCTTTGAGTTATAGAAGCTCACCAGTCGGCGTGACAGCTTAGTTATTGAATACAAAATGCAATTTTTCAAGTTCCTACGATATCTCGCGCAGAAGCAATCGTCCTGGCCGAGCCACCCGCGCCGCCGCCTCGCTCGGGAGTGCGGCGTGTGCGGTGATCGAATCTACGAGAGGATTTTCGAGATGCTTATGGAGATCGAGCTCTCTCCCATCTGTTCCAGTTACTCGCGACCGCGTCGCGTAATGTTATTTCGTGCGTGAGGCCCGCATTTGCACAAAAGTGCGCCGAGCGCGCGTAAGGCACGAGAGGTTCGCACGGGAGGTTCGTAATGCTCGCGTGTCACGGAGACGAATTTATACGCGGTATCGCTTCGTCGCTGTCTAGGAAATGCATCTCTCACTATCAAATTAGATGCGCGCCAACTTGCTCGCTACTCCGGATATTTCGTCCCGCGACCCGTGGATGTATCGTACAAATATTTTATTATTCCAACAATCGCTGCTATGCACTCTCTCTCTCTCTCTCTCTCGGTCGGTGCAATCGTCGTCGAAGAATACGGCGGGCTTTTCGAGTAAATTCTCCAGTACGTGGCTTCGTTTGTAACGAATGAAAAAAGGAACGAGACCCTTTCCTCGTTTGAATTGTTCTGTCAAGTACACACGTGCCTGTACTTATGGCGCGATTTGGCAACCTCGTTACGGATCACTACTTCTATTCACGTTCGTATGCAAGGTATACTACTAGGCCGTACAATAAAATATCCCGAGGAAATTCCACGTATTCCTCTGATCCTCGTGTGTTCCCTCCCTTCTCTCATGCCACTAATAAGTAGACCGCTGAACCGTGGACGCTATTTTATCATACGACCGATCCAGCAGTCTCGTTTCGCTTGACAGATTTCGCACATTCTCCATCGCGACGTGATGAGAAAGGCTGCATCATACTTCGAAATTAATTGTTTCTAGCAAGTAACGTCCTCCGGCAATGCGGATCATTTTTTGCGTGCAAAAATAGCAGCGCAGTGGAATCACTCGGTAGAAAGTACAATTCTATGATATTATGATTCTGCCCGCGCGTTTAAGAGCCATTTTTCTCCAAAGTGTGTCTCATGAGGAATATGGAGATTTTGCGAAATCCGCGAAATGTACTACGGACGGTAAAAGCTTCATCTCTGCTAAATTTTGCTTCGTCAGTCCGCGGAACGTATGACGCAAATATGTACTGTCGGTGGCATCTCCTTCGAGCAGTCAATGACAAAATGTCATTTGTTGTAAAAAGCTGAGAGATGTTCTCTAAGTGCTTGAACGGGAGCTTCAGAGCCGTTTTTCTCAAAAGCGATGCCACATATGAAAGACATATTCATGCCGAAATTCCAATTTTATATCTTCACGACGGGGATTCAAGGGGGTCGCAGCACGCTCGTGCCTGAATAATAACATACACTTTTCTCCAGCGATTATATTCTTGTTTTTCCAGTTACCACCATCCCTGATCCTGAGTTCGTGGACGAAATAGGAAATATTACAGTACCAGCAGGACGAAATGTCAAATTGGCGTGCAGCGTAAAGGACCTCGGATCGTTTAAGGTACGTGCGTGACAACTCGCTACTCGTTGTCGTTATTAAGGTTGATTTACTCCTACATAAAAATATCGTCACTTTGACCGATATAATTTCGACAGCGTCATAAAGTGAAGCTTGCTCATCGAGTAAAGTACTAAGAGAAAGGAATAAATCAATAATGTGTCTCTACAGTATATAGTTTATATAATATATATATATATATATATATAGTTTATATAATATATATATATATATACATATATACAGCAGTTTATATTATGTACAGTGCTGTGAGATTAAAGATTTAATCAGCTTTATTAAAACGAGCGAGCAGCAAAGTCTTTAAAATATAAACGTTATGCGATTCGAGCTTCTCCCCGTTGGTCCCTTTCCGTTTGGTTGATCGAGCGCCTAAAAAAGGGCTCCCACCATCTCTCTTTTCTCGAAACGAAATATTAAAACATTAATATCTCGTCGGATCCACTTTTAATGAAGATTTTAAAAATCGACCATCGTATCGACTACCACAGCTCGGCGTTTCGCAATTTTCCAAACTCAAATTTTGCCGTGAAACTGTGTCAGCAGAAGATTATGAGTACGTGATATCGTTATAGTCGGATCCGTGAGATACTTTGATAAATGCCATTCATCAATAAAGGACCTCATTAAATTCGAAGCGTGGGATGCAAGAGAAAAATCGAGAGCGAGGAGGAATACATATCTTCAAGGATCTTGAATAATTTTCTCATCTGGCGCACTCATCTCACTCAGCTGCTATCGTACACAGAATAAATTAATGACGCTGTAGATACATACTGCGCATTACACTTTATATATTCCCCCGCAGCGAGCAGCGTAAATCGGATGGACTGCTAATGGTTAGCAATGGTGAAAACGCGACTAACGGCTACCCGCGCGATGTCGAAACTGCAACAACATCATAAAAAATCTCGAATTTCCGCGCCAAATTTATCATTTCAAACACACAATTCTGAACATACGTATTACATGTATAATACATGTGTGTATACCTGCGGGGATCGCTGCGTTTTTCTTTAGACGACTACGCATTAAAGCTATAACGCTTTGTCAGTATCGTCGTGAACTACAAAAAAATCATGGATGCATCTTAAGTACTTCATCGCTTTTGACGCGACAAAAGCGAATTTCGTATTCGTCGCAACTTTCGGCGACTCTCAGACGATCCTATTTTCTCGGAAGAAAAAAGAACGGAGAAAGAATCCCCCGAAGAAATGAAGAGGATAAAAGACGTGGAAGTATTAAAAAAAGACCAGGAAAACCGAGTCATCGTAATATCGCTCGTGCTTGTGAACGAAGCGAAAACATGTGTGCTACACAACGCCACCGCGGCCAAGACGAGCGATGGAAGTCGAAAGTTCGACGACGACGGCTACCTGAAATTTTACATCCGGAAGGGGAAGTAAGATTGAATTGGCACTTTTTGGCTCGGCGCCAGCTCGTCTCCTCGCGCGCTCGCGCTATACGTCGCGCCACTTGAATAATCGTCATCTCGTTTACCGAGACTCAAATTGAAGAATTCGGTCGTTCTACCGGCGAGGTACACTTCGTGTTTTTTTAAACCGCGTCTGAAATTTTCACCAAGCTCGCTGCGATCATCGACGTAAAATTTTTACATCCCTCCCTCTCTCTCTCTCTCTCTCTCTCTCTCTCTCTCTGCTTGCTTCACCTATCGCCCTACGGAAATATAAAAATATTTCATTTCCCGGAAATCGCCAATGTTTCCGGCCAATTTCGACGCATAAAGAATATCAAAATTCGCGCGTCAATGTTACGTCTTCGACTTTCTGATATGTCAAATTATCAATAGTAATGGCAGCAATAATAGTGGTGGTCGCGGCAGCGGCGATAAATTCGCTGTTCTTTTGCGGGATGCAATAAACCTCTGGCCCATTCACAATTCTCTCAACTATGACTATAACTCTCTTTCCTCTCCTTATACAATACATTTCTCTCTTCCATGCTCCTTCCTACGACTTTAGCCGTCGCACCACGCGCGCGCTATTGTTTTTTTCATCCTTCCTCTTTCCTGTCCTTTTAGCCTATCCCGTTTTACACGGCGCAGCCGATATACAAAAGTCCGCATGCCGAGCGCGCACACTTCAACGTTAAATGTTGAATCCGAATGTGATTCTCCAATTGAAACAACGTGGCACGCGATGTACATACACACGAGAGACGGACAAAGTCAGGCGGCCACTTTTACGGGGCAAATGTGCGAGCGGAGTCCAAAGCGTCTGTTTTAAGGACGCGTTTCGATTTTAAATTTGCCGAAGATCGGAATTAGAAGTCGGGATCGAGTCGAGCGGGAGAGAGCCGCGTCTCTCGCAAGGAGAGACCTACATTCGCGGGGAAACACAGGCCGGAGATCGAATCGGACAATACTTTGCCGGGCGCTGGCGCTGTCGAGTGATTTTATATCGCGGTCTGAGTACGCGCAACGACTCACCTCTCGCTACTACCCCTCCTTACGAGCCTCATACTGCCCCTTAGTGCCCTTTACTGTCCCACGGAAAGGCCACCGGGGATCGCAACCGCTAAACACGCACTTAAACCGCCCCCTCGTGCCTTCTCACGGAGAGATCAACGTTATTACCCTACGATCGTTCCATTCGCCACTTCTCCGTGCAACAGAAAGTAATCGTTGAGTCGCCATCAGGAGCTGCGCGCCCGTCTTCGGCGATGCGGCGACGCTCGCTTTCCGATTAATCGCGCAACGATCACGCGATCGACCGGCCCGCGGATGTCGCGACTGGTGTAAAGAGGATAATAACCGAGGCCGGATGCGGGAGGAGGAGGGGGGGGAAAGGGGGGTACAGCGCACAAAGGCGGAGAGAGAAAGAGAAGAATTTCATTTCACGTTAATTTCGCCAATTTTTGGAGACGCGAATAAAAAAAATCCCAGTTTCGATCTAAATACCCACCACGAGTATAAATGACAAAGATATTTTTTTATCCCCGAACTCAGCGGGGCGAGACAGACACTGCGAGCTGCGCGATATACTTTATATCTCTTTGAACTTCGTTTGACGTAATTTTGCATTCATCGCCAAAGAATCCGAATTATTTCGCAATCTCTCTAAAATTGCGCTTGACGTCGTTAACGGGTACATTTACGCGCGAAAAAATTTTTATCGCGTTTAACGTATTTCTACATTCTTCTGGTCTCCTGGATCGCCGCCCCGCCGGGGTGGGCCACTCCCGCACCCTCTCCCTCTTCCTCCCCCCCCTCTCTCTCTCTCTCTCTCCGCGCATTATCGAAGAAAAATCCGCAGTATTTAATCCTCATCGATGCCGCAACGAGATTTTTATAGCTTCCTTTTATTCGCCCAACGGCGCTGTAAGGATCTATCCTCCATCCTCGCGAATCAAGATATACCGGCCAAGAAAAATACCGCTAAGTCGAGATATTAAAATTCCAATCCTGTTTTTTTTTTCCCCACCCTCCTTCCTTCCTACCTTCTTTTCTTTCGTTCGTTCTTTCGCTCGCCACGTGGATCGATATAAGCTGCGATACAGCTGCAGCCGCCAATGAATTTATTTTGGTGGCCGCTCTCGGGGAGAGGAGAGTTTCACCGCTCAACGCCGACGACAATTACTCGACTGTACATCATAAACTTAACTCGATGGTCATTCATTCCCGTCGTGCCGTTGAATTATGATCGGACGGTCGCCGAACGTTACACAGATTCACACCTCTTTCCTATTGACTTTCCGACTCCTGCCTAAACTGTTCCTCACGCCCGCTTGTGTTAGTTTCTTCGACGCGCGCGCGCGTGTAACGCTCAACTTTTCGTTTTTAGAGCCCCGTCTCGTTCGTATCGCCACACACACAATCGGGAAAGCTTGAGTCGCGTTTCTGGCACGAACATATTTCGAGCGTAATTAGCTCGAAAAAAGCGCCGCGTTTCGCGAGCCAATGCCTGTGCAAATTTAAATCTCACCAACCTTGCGCGCTAGACCGGGCGCAGCAAATGTACGCCGGCCATAATCAAACCGTGATTAATTTAGAACTATTAAAAAAAACATCAGACAACAGTTCGCTGCGGATTATTGAATCGCAGCATTCGTCGGGTGGTCATATATGTTCAAATATGATTGAGTCTCAGCATATTTTACGTGATTATGATTGTCGACCGCGCGTGACAACAATAATGTCGCCAGCCGGCTAATAGTCATGTCCTGATTGCGCAGATTACAGAGACACAGACTTTGACGTATTTTCGGGGAACAAAGAAAAACAGCGGGCCTGTGCAAATTACGTATGCGTATCGCAGTACGGTTGTATCGATTATTCGCCTCCGCGGGAACGTAATTTCAATTTAACTTTCATTTTGCGTATTTACTCACCGGGCGAGTGAAAAAGAAAACTAATGGCGCTTGTCGCGCCGGCCGCGACGCGCGCGACAAGCGCCATCGGTTTTCCTTTTCTTACGCCCGATAAAAAACGGAGAGAGATTCGATGAAACGGAGATTCGTGTGTCTTAATATTATAACTGTGTGCGTGTGCGCGGGGTGTTTTTCTCGCGTGTATTTTTCATCCGGTATTCCAGCGGCGGTTTGCCCGGAAATTCGGCTAAGCGTGCGTGTGGCCGTGCGCGCGCGTACATGACCGCCGGTTTTTACGCTTCAATACAGACGAATCGCGAGAGACCGCGTGCGCGCGCGTTGTTCGCGACCGCGGCGAAAAAAAGGAAACGATGATTCGATGCGCAGCCGACGAAAATGTAAATTCGACCGTAGCCGGTGGTACGCATCCGGCCGGAAATAAATTCCTTCTCGGTGTTATTGTTCTTTGGTCGCGCTCGTCCGATGTACACCCGGTTGTATCTTAACGGAAAATTTCTCGATTTGCCGATATTATTCCGGGGTGCAGGTCGCAGCTTCTGAGCTCCGGTAAAACGTAAGGATATTGGCTTTGGCGATCGGTGTGCCGCGGAAATCGGACGAGGAAGAGATGCCTGATAAGAAAATGTATTTCGATT